GGACCTGTGTATTGAACACTTGAGCACTGAACATGCATTAATCTCTACAGGATCAGGACCTGCAGTTTTTTAACAGTTTTTTAATGTTCTGTCCAAGTGAATTTGGCCTGTTAGGTACTTGTGTAACATCTCCTGATGTCTGTCCTTTATTCTACTGCTTTGTTTCCACACTAGCAGGATACTGGCACAGGAATCACTACACAAAAAGAAAAATTATAGAAAACTTGATGTTGCAAGCTGACCTGTTTGTCAGGAAATAACTTAGCATGCTTAGTTGTTCCTGTGAGATGGCAGTAAGAAATCTGCTTGCCTTAGATTTATTTGCTTGGAGCACTGTAAAGCAATTCTATCACGATACTGGTAAAGGTGTTAAAACTGTATAGCATCCATTCCTCCTGCTGCAGAATTAGTCTTCAGTCAAGAAGCTGAAGTTGTTTCATCTCTGCATGTTCCAACAGACTCTCTCAGGTGAGCACCAGGCGATAACTAAAGCAGCTGCTTTTGGACGAGTTTTTAACCAGTGGGTGGAGGACTAAGCGAATTCACCCCCTCCTCCCCACTCCACTCTGGCTGCCCTGTGTCTTGCCTCCCTCTCTCTCCTGCACTCTTGCACATTTCCCCAGAGGCAAGGGTGCTGGTGACTGGAAATGTAAAAAGTCACCTGATAGGAGGCTGCCTGACTCCCTGCTCTGCGCACGGCATGATCTCTCCTCGCCTGGTGGGAGTGAAAGGAGCTCTGCAAGGCTCTGCTCTGCAGGTTGCATTGTTTGCTGCAAACACAAAACTGAAATCCATCTTTGTACTGCCTACTTACCGTCCAGGGGACTTGAATGTCTTCTTGCCTTCTGTTTTTCCCCAAAGCTCTCTTTTCAAAAGGAAGCTCTAATCTGCTGCTAGCAATGCATCCTGAGAGGAGGCTATGTTGGTGTTACCCTGCTTTCTGTGTGTGGGCATTTGTATTCACATCCTTGATTAAAGGTAGGCTCTCTTTGATACTAGTCTCTAAAATATTTTCTAGTCACTGTCTCTGCTTCTGTTTTCCTGGAATAAATTCAGTGTAAGGCTTCTACCAGCTATTTCTAACCTGAAATCTGTAACATTTCAATAGTATTTTAAAAGAGCTAAAGCAATACTAGTTTTCACACATAAAACTCTTAATGTTGGTTTGATAACTAACTGAGAAACTGTTTCTAGCAAAGAATGGAAATGAAATAGGAGTTCTAGAAATGTTTGGTCTTTGAATTTTGTATTTGCTTAAATAGTGCAAGCTAAAGATGCGTACATTCGATACACCTTCAAAGTGAGAACTCGATATATTTTTGTTCACTGTCATTTGTGATTTTTTTTTAAATATGCTGGAATGATTTCCACATACAAGTCTCCCTGGTAAACTGCTTTTAAGTCACTATATCTTTTTTGAAAGTCTCATTTCTGCTGACCAAGATATGTATGAATTAGAGTGCTTGTGTTAGCAGGGCACGTGGCATTGTATTACAGCAACACCAATGGGATGAGAATCTGTAACTGAAGTATAAAAATGAAAGTCCTAAATACCTGTCTGTTTCTGCTACTTCAATTTAAAGCACGTGTCTGTTAAGAAGCCAGTAGGAAAATTTCAGATTAAACGCTCATTGGCTTTAGTTGGGAGACTTTGGTGAGAAACTTTAAGGTACTTTTAGTCACAGTGTGACAAATGTGGTGAGGAAATCTAAAAAAGGAAATTGCTATTTCCTTTTTGAATAGGATAATACATGATACACAAACATCCAAACTTTGCAAACATTCACGTCTCTTTCCTGAATGATGCTAAAAGGATGAAATAAAACATCAAGTCATGGAAGTTTTACTATAATATATATAAAAAATACTTTCCATACCTGTATGTCAGCAGTAACAAACATTTTAACTTTTAATTGTGATAATCCCCTGAATCTGAGCATGCTTGGTATCACTTTAGAGGCAGAAATGTTCTTGTTTTGGTTTGGTTTGGTTTGGTTTTTTTTTGTTTGTTTTTAAAAAAAGGAGGACAGCCTAAGCATGAAAATGGTACTGTATGCTGAGACTAGGCATCTCCCTGTAGGACATCTGTGTCCTTGTGTTCACTGAATGAAATGTAAATTGTAAATGTATGTCCTATAATGTGCCAGAGACCATGCTGCCTGATACAAACCTCTTCTATGTTTAAGATTTTTGCAGTCACAAACACTTGTCATGATTGTTTTCCTGATGTGTTCTGGTGCAGTCTGCGATTAACACAAAGACTTACGACCATGCATCTGAAAATCTATTTTTTCCTCAGTTGTATTGGATCTATCTTTGACATCATCATACAGCTTTGATGACACAGCTGTGCTCAGTAGGACAAGCAAATTCTAAATCTTTGCCTTATAAAGTATTTTGAATTTCTGTGCTGAATTATAGTAGTGCATTGAAATAACAAAGTCATTCCAAAAAAGTCCTTTCTTAAGCCAATGTTGCCAGAGTCCACATAGTTTAATCTTTCCTTTTGAAATAACTCTGTAGTCTTTAGCAGTGTGAAAACAACTATTTCAGGTTTTGGCTGTATGTAACAGATTAATAGTATTCTTCTTGACTCTGCAGTGAGGCAGCTCAGCACCTGTCACACACCTTATTCCTGCTAAACCAGTCAGTCTGTACTGCATTGACAGGATGTTACGGCTATGATCTGCTTGTTCCCAGAAAGTGGCTCTGTATTACAAAGAAGCATGCTGTTCTATAAGAAATTCTAGTATTTCCTTTTTTTTCTGTCATATAATTTAAGAAATTAGCTTCCTTCAGAGCAAAATTGTGGTATCTAAAGAGCTGAAATAGAATACAATGTAGTCGTTTTTAAGACTAGGAGGCATCATTATAATCACCTAAGTGGTGTACCTGACATAGATTTTTATCCAGTAGCTGCAGCCTCAAGCTTTTAATTTCTGATTAAGTACCTATGCTTTTCATAAACTTTCCGTTTTACCATGAAAACTCCCAAGGATGAAACCCACCAAGTTTATACTTTTTGTACTTTACATCACTTTATTCTACTTTGGTCTGATATCAGAGTGGGCCAAGTGAAGCCCCATAGGCCAGATCCAGCTTTGGAGACATTTCCGTTCAGGCCATTACCTTACACTTTTAGGAGACAAGAAGCAGTGGGCACCATCCTGCAGGAGAGTTATTTTGATGGGCGGCCCTCTTTTCTCTGCTCCTGTGTCTTGGAACATGGTCACAAGCACAATGTCCAGAAAAATAGCATGGGCTAGTCTGTTATTCAGCATCACCTTCTTCCTCACCTCTGACACAGCTGTTCTCTGTCTTTACCAACACAGGTACGACAGCCTGCGAATCAGAGGCGCGGTTATTTCACAAACTCTTTTCCCAGTACAACCAGTTCATCAGGCCGGTGGAAAATGTGTCTGATCCTGTCACAGTGTATTTTGAACTGGCCATTACCCAGCTTACAAATGTGGTAAGACTCATTACAGAATACTGCTAAGATTTGGAGATGGTTGCAAACACACACAAATTGCTAAAGCAACAGATGTAATTGTGATAGTTACACCTACAGCTTTCATAGCTGACATTGTCATGCGTGCATATGTGTATATGCTGAGACCTTTGCTGTTCTTTCTGTCAGCCGAGTTGCTCCATTTGCTTGAATGAGCAGTTCAAACTGTATAGATTCATATGCTTATTCTGTAGCATCAAATGCCTTTCCTTCAGGCAGCACCTCTGGCACCCAGAGCAGCAGCACCAAATGTTAAAGTCTGCTCTCCACAGAGCTCGCCCACTCCAGAGGTGCCTCGCTGTGTCCATGTTGCATACCATGCAGCCTAGTTCTCCTCTGCTGTGAGGCCAGTGTCATTTCTCCATGGTCCTTAGAAGTTTGGGTTTTTTCTCATGCTTTTTTAGTCTGTTTCAAAATAACGTGAGAGACATGCAGCCTGCACAGTGGTGGGGCTGGGGATGAATGTTGTGTGTTCTGCGGGGCACTGTACACCAGAGTGTGTCTGAGGTGGCAGACCTGCTGGGCAGGGCAGAGTGACTGTGGAAGAAGCAAAACCTGACCTTAATCCTTGCTGAAATCTGCTCTGTGAAGCAAGTTATCCACAGAAGAGTGGCTGAGTTTTGATTCTGAGTTTTGATTCTGATACCTCGTTGAGTCCATAATGAAGCAGCAGGCAAACAGTGAGGAGCAACATTCAACAGCAGCTAGGGTGCTAAGTTGTGCACATGATTGTGCACAGTAAGTAAGCACCCTGAGAATGGCCAGAAAAGTTCTGGCATTAGTTAATATGAAATTCTAGTTTCCATTTTTATCAGAATAGTTTGTAACTGTCTCAGGATACTGTTACTGATTTATGGAGTGAAGATGTGCATGTCTGTGTTTCTTTCTAGGATGAAGTCAATCAGATTATGGAAACAAATTTGTGGCTAAGACATGTAAGTGACTGCATTGCATTTCTCATGCATTTTGCATTGATGTGATGAAATGTCTGTTACCTTGTAAGCTACATCTATAGAATAGGTGCTTGTTTTGTAACAATAATTTTAAAGGTACGCATAAGGAGAAGCTCTATGAACCAAAGCCACATTTGAAAAAGTACTTTCTTTATTCTTATTTCAAAGAAGTTACATTGCCTATCTTTCCTGTGTAATATATTCTCCTCCAACTTCATGGTCATTGGTTTAGCTGGATGTACCCATTAAAGTGTGGTTAAATACGCAGCTTGGCAATCCTGGGTCATCTCCACATTGAAGATTCCAACCAAAACATTTGTTAGCAAAAGGAACATGCCACCATTTTCCTGATGGTTTTAGCATTTATACATAGACAAAGATCCTTAGAGGACCTAAACTGCTGATAAAAACAAACCAACTTCTACCAAAAGCAGTTTCTTTGAGGCACTCATTGTGGTCCACACAAAGCTTTCTGCAAAAGATACTGTGCTTATAAAGAGGATATTCAGAGTAGGCTACAAGAGCATGGAGCATGGAGCATGGCCCCATGATAGGTCTACCAGAATACAAGAGAGCTGCTGAGCGTCCCTTGCTGCCCCTGACTTGGCAATTCCCTGTGGAACCAATAATGTCCCCTGGCAGCAACGGCCTGTTAGTGTGCATATGTACCTCCTTTCTTGTTGGGATGCTGGTCTTCTTTGTTGCTGGCCTCTTTTAGCATACAGCATGCACTCTCATGACAGCAGCAGCATAGCCTGTATTTCCTCTCTGCAGTGGGTTGGTAACTGTGGCAAAAAGAGCCTTGACTAAAACGTTCAAGTAAACAATTTATTTGAACTGTTTCAGATGTAATAATCCACTATTGCAGGTTTTACGAATACAATGAAGAAATGCACTGTTGCAATTTAAAAGCAAGAATACGCTATTTCAACCCACAAGATATTCACAGAATGCACTATCACAACCCACAAGCGTGCTAAATACTACATATGTGTTAGTTAATCACCCACAGTTACAAATCTAAAGCATGCTAAATATTTGCTTACCCTTTCAGGTAAGGGCCCTCAGTCCCAGGGAAGTTATCTAGGCGAGTGTCCTGATCAAGGGGGAATGGTCTGCTCACAGAACAGCTGTATAGTTGGAGAAGGGACTCTCAATTCCCAGCCTAAATCTTAGGAGTCTTATTCCCTGATTTACTTGATGGGAGGGAAGGAATATGCCAGAGTGGCTTATACTGTCTGGAATGCTTATCCTTGATGGTGTTTCCCCTTATCATTCGTTCTTTATCCATGGATGAGATACACTTCTGTCTTCTCTACCTTTTACTTCTTTTTTTGCTGATCTTGGGATTGTCTGGGTTGGCTGAAACTGAAACCTTTCAGCTTATCTTACTTCCTCAGGCAACTGAATAGTAGTTTAATTGAGACTCATTGCACATTATTTGTTGAGGGATTTCAAGGCTCAACTCATGTTTCGGTTCTTTGAATGATGCAGTGCTGCCTTATTTAGTCTAGGGCTTACTGGTCAACTCAGGGCTGAGCTATGTACACAGCTCACCATGGGTTGTCTCTGTAGCCTTAAGGCAGTCCAAGGCTGAGTCACTTTTACAACCCCTTGAGTTGCCTTGGTGCACGAGACATTGCCAGAACTTGTTTACAAACTATGAGCCAGACAATCCATACAGTAGCCTTGCACAGGTAATAGTCTGTACTGATGCAGCAGGACAGAGGAGACACCTCAGTATGTCAGCAATGGGTAATAGCTGACATCCCATCCCCTCACAGAGGGACTAGCATATCAATGTGAGCAATATTCTTGTATGTCCAGTGTTTCTCCATGTCATAGCCTTGCTGTCTTTTGGACCACTGTCCCCTTCTGTATGTGGTGCACTTTCAGTCTTTATCATAGCCTGTCATCATTGGACTAGATGACCTTTACAGGTCCCTTCCAAGCCAACAGATTCTATGATTCTATGATATGATCGTACAGGAAGATCTGAGAAGCAGATACTTGCTGATAATACAAGGTTTTAAAATCCTTGTCCATTCTTATTTCAGATTTGGAATGACTACAAATTGCAGTGGGATCCCAGAGAATATGATGACATTGAATTTGTTCGGGTACCCGCAGATAAAATCTGGAAACCAGATATTGTCTTGTATAATAAGTATGATGAACACTTTTCTATTTTACCCTTTCTCTCAAAAGTATCCTCTTGCAGTGTCCTTAAAGGATGTTTTGCTTTCCTGGTAATTTTCTCTTTTTGCCCCATTTGTCTTTCTAGTGCAGTGGGAGATTTTCAAGTTGAAGGCAAGACTAAAGCCCTGCTCCGCTATGATGGAATGATCACCTGGACCCCACCAGCTATTTTTAAAAGTTCCTGTCCTATGGATATTACCTTCTTCCCATTTGATCATCAGAATTGTTCACTGAAATTTGGTTCATGGACCTATGATAAAGCCAAAATTGATCTTCTGATCATTGGATCCAAAGTAGATATGAATGACTTTTGGGAAAATAGTGAATGGGAAATAGTTGATGCTTCTGGCTACAAACATGACATCAAATATAACTGCTGTGAAGAGATCTACACGGATATAACATATTCCTTTTATATTCGAAGGTTGCCAATGTTTTACACCATAAATCTGATCATTCCTTGTCTCTTCATCTCATTCCTGACTGTGTTAGTTTTTTACTTGCCATCTGACTGCGGTGAGAAAGTGACTCTTTGCATCTCTGTTCTGCTTTCTTTGACTGTATTCTTACTGGTGATCACAGAAACAATCCCATCCACCTCTTTAGTAATTCCCCTCGTAGGTGAATATTTACTTTTCACTATGATATTTGTGACACTGTCAATTGTCATCACAGTGTTTGTCCTGAATATACATTACAGGACTCCAACCACACACACAATGCCGAAATGGGTAAAAACCGTCTTTCTTAGCCTGCTCCCCAAAGTCCTGTTGATGCAGAGGCCACTAGAACAGCAGAAAAAATACATCTTCAAAAAAACCAAGAAAGGATCAGTCAATATGTCAGAAAAGTCAAAGCACAGCAAACACAAAGATACCGAATTAGAGAGGGAGCAGTGCTGCAGTCACTGCGATAAGGCAACTGAACTTACTACCACCAAAAGGAGACAACTGAGCCATCAGTCACTGAAATGGATGGCAGAGCAGATGGAGTACTCTCCAGAAGTGAAGGATGTCATTAGCAGCGTTCAGTTCATCGCAGAGAACATGAGGTCTCAAAATGAAACCAAGGAGGTAAGGGAGGTAACCACCCAGCTGGGCATGGGGTCGCATATCCAGCATTGCGCAAGAGAACAGCAAGTGAAAACACGATCTAGGAAGGTAGCCCACAAGAACTGGAGTTGTTTGATCTAGAGAAGAAAATTCTGAGACCTATGAAAGGGTCAAAATTTCCTACAGAAAGGGAGGAGATAAATCATCCATTGGGGGTGGAACAAAAAAGTGATCTGTTGTTCGTCAATCCCCAGTGGATAATTTAAGCTGTGAAAAGTTTTAGATTAGACATCAAGCTCACCCTTCTCAGGGTGAGAAGGAAAATGAGCAGGAGCCTGTTGAGGTCATGAGAACTAAACTTTGATCAGCTGTGGCTCTGGTAGAGTTGATCCTGCCTTGAGCAGGGGATAGACTAGATGGGGACTTTCAAGGTCTCTTCCAACCCAACTTCTGTAGGTCCTCAGAAATAACCCTCTTCAACTGCACACCAACTGCTCAACCCTGGTAAGCAGTGACATCTCAACACTAAGCATGCTATTTACCAAGAAGGTGCTTTTCTGTGTTAGTAATGGAATGTGCAAATTTAGGGACTGGTTTTTAAAGAACAGGGCTTGCCTGGCAGCACAGTAGTTGATCTGGAGAAGAACTACTCTCACCCAGTGATAAATTTGGCAAAGATACTCCTTTCAGGATGTTGTTGTCTGTCCTTAGTTTCAGTTTGATCTTTTCTTATTTTTTCAGAGATTTGACTAACTGTGGCTTCAGCAATACAGTATGTTCAGCCATGGCAAACATATGTGAAAATTTTAGGGGAAGACAGCTGAATAAAAACAGACAGCAGATTAGTAAATACAGGTGAAAAAAAGACATGGATTTAAAAGTGAGACTTAGCATTTGGGCTAATGGATTTGCTTGCATGAGGTTATAAATCTTTCATCCTAACTGGGATTACTGTCATAGAAAATTATACACATTGGAATTTAGAGAATTCTGGGGCCACATCCTCAGATGTAAACACAAGCAGTTAAAAGCAGCTCTGAGAAAGATTATCTGGCATCCACCACACCCAGGCCTCACAAGGAATAGGAATTCTCTGACACTTCAAGAAGTTTTTTTGAAGTGTTTAGAACGTAATGAAACATTTGTCTTTGATCTGTCGAGAAATATTTGCTTTTGGTTTTGAAGTTTTTAGATGCTCTGTGATGGCAAATCCTGTTAAAAATTAAATACTGCTGTCCTTGTGTTGGAAAACACAAGTACTTTGTGAGGAAAATATAGAGAGGTATTCTTTCTATCCGAATATTTTGTTGAAATCAGCACAAAATCATGCAACTTCTGTGCAATCTAAAAATAACTTCCCCCTCCCCTTTTTTTTATGTCCTGCAGAAGGGTTTAATCTGAAAACAAAGTCCATAACTTTCTGAGTAAGGGGCTGCAGTTAAGGCTGGTGTGTGAATTCATAGGAGGAGTGTGTAATACCTGCCAGCCCAAAGCAAAAGGCAGGAACCCATCAGCACAAAGGAGGATAGGGACTGAGCTGAGCCTTGCTTAGTACCTGTGTCCTTAATGTTTTGCTTGACTCCAGCATTTTAGCCCTGCTCTTACTGCCACACCAGCTGCATAAAACATATCCATGTACTGCATTCAGCTGATTTCTCCAATGCTCTCCAAAATAGAAGAGACTTTGCGTGAAGTGGTCTGAGTAACATGCCACCTTGATTATGAAGTTCATGATAGGTCTCCCTTTGCCAGTTTTGCTGATTTGCATTTTGCAAATCGCTCCTGCCACATGAAATTGTACTCTTAGTCTGGTGTGCATGTCAACAGCTAAGAATCTTACCTTTCAAAACACAGTGGTGGGAAGCAGGATTTTTCATTTGGGAAAAATCCTCTCTTTGGGGACAAAAGGGGGTTTGTTCTTAGGCAAGCACTGAAGAAATTATTCTGCAGGCTGCTTCTGCTCCAGCCAGACATACAGGTGTCATCACCATATGGTGCTATCATCAAATGGGTGATATCATGCACTAGTCCTGTAAAAATAAAAACCCTTTAAAAATTTTGGCAACAATTATGGCAGCTGGCGTTCTTGCTTCATTCTCTTTCACGAGAAGTACAGCAGCAGTGCCTTGGGGGAAAACATCAAGAAATTGGGAAAACAAGTGGAAGATCCCTCAGCAGAGAGCTCTTTACTAATTTTATATGAGTGAATGTTCTTTTGATGCAGTGGTGCTTTTATGTAGGTACAGTATAAAGGACAGCAGCTTCACTGAACATGGTTCTAAGGTATATCTCTCAGACATACACAATCCACTTCTGTCTTCCTTGGCAGGTGACACTGTGGTTTGCTCAGTCAGGGCTTTGCTATAGTCCATGTGTCCGGCTGCCCAGTTTGCTGAAATCAACAGGGCTTGATTGAAGTGACAGTGTGGCAAATCAGGCCAGAATAGCAAACTCTCTCTTGTGTGGGTTGTCATGATAAATCCTTTGACAGGATCTAGTGAGGTGCAGCTATGGTGATTGTCTCTGCTGTTAAACCACCCCACTCTGCACCCACCCCAGAATCAGGTCCTATTTGTTAATGTCAGTGTCTCAGCCATAGCTTGCCAACAGACTTGAATATTTAGAAAAGTTCATCCAACTAGGTCAGTGTTGAATGCTCTCAGCCAAAAGTGATAAATACTTTTAGAAAATCAGCCCACTCTAAAGGCACTTGAAAACTGCAGCAACTATAAGCATGACAAACAACATTATTGACTGCATATATGTTCTTCCTCACGTTCAAAAGCACAAGGGACTTCTCTACTATGTAATGTCAATTCACAATTGCATGTTACATTACATGTAATTTATACCTTTTTTTTTCTCTTGCAGGTGGAAGATGATTGGAAATATGTAGCTATGGTGATAGACAGAGTATTTCTCTGGGTATTTATAATCCTTTGTGTCTTTGGAACTGCAGGGCTCTTTATCCAGCCTCTAATAGCAGATACATAACTTGATCCACTGCTTTTTATCCACTTTTGTGTTTGTTTCATTTTCAGTTTGGGACTGTCCCCTATATTTCTCTCCTCTTACACAGCCCCTCTGCTTATCACCTCAACACCCAGCCACAGAGGAAGAGAAGGAGAGGGAAGGGTCCTCTGGGAAAGCAAACAACACAAATCAGAATGAGAAAAGGACTGAAAATAGAGGATGAGCATGTGATCTTTATATGGTGGAATGTCTAGGATTTTTAGAGTGCCTGCCTGTCACTCCCTCAATGAGTTCAGCAATAACAATTGTGCTGGGGACCACAGGAGCAGATTGAAGTTACTGAGTTTTTCCCTTGGTTTCAGTGCAGGGGGCTATTAGGACAGTTTAGGCAATTCTGAGTGCATTGCCCAAAGCGGACTCTACCTGGCTTCATTTTTTTGTCCTGATCATAACTTTACTTTATCAACTCTTCCTTTGAGATAATTTACATTTCCTCTCTATCTCTCTCCTTGTATAACAGCTAGTCTCTGGTGTGGTACCTAAGGGGAGGTACCACAGTCCTACTGAACGGACCAATGCTCTTTATTGTGTTCCTGTGTCAGGGCAGCAAATAATCAAAATAAAAGTACAGTCAAACTAATCCCTTGACCCTGTACCATTTTCAATACAATCTAAAATAAGGGGTCCCTGTCTTCTGCAATATATGAACACAAATGAGGGTCCCAGATCAACAACATGTTTATGTTTGCAGTCAGACAGGTCTTAAGCACTTAAACATAGTTGAAGGCAAACCTACTTAATATTTTGCAGTGCATGTACCCTTGATGACATTATTTGAAGCATGCTAGGCTCACCTAAGAGGAATAGCCTGGATGCACTATGGAGAACCAGAAAAAGACTTGAATTCCCTGTGGTTACCATGTAAGGCATCCACATTTGAAACCTACATGCTTCTAAGACCTTTTAAAACTAGTTCATCTGCCACTTAACTTTGTATGTGACTGAAGTCCCCTTTACTTCCTGATACTGCATACCAAGACCTCAGTGAGCTCCAGTGGGGTTGTCAAGCCACATTTCTCTTGTCAAATTAACAGTGGTCTCAGACCACAGGGTCTGCTCTGAAGACTCTTGCTTGCTCAGGCTCAGACATAAACCCAGCAGGGAAGGGTTTGTCCCTGAGTAGCTACTCAACACAAACAGAATTGGCTTGACAGCACTGGACTGATCTGAGATCTCCCATGCTTTTAAAAACTTTTAAAACTTTTAAAAACTGCTCTGCAGCAATTTTCCATTTACTGACCCCTTATGAGTCAGTGCCATGTGTGCAAAAAAAAAACCCCAACTTTTGGGGCTGAGGTTGCTGCTATGTAACCAGGTTTCCTATCCTAGTGTGCTTAATCCTGAAATGCTTCGTAGATGTGCACCTGATGTGATTTCTATGGTATGCGAACAGTTTACCATCAGATCCCTTGTCCATTTAGATACCTGTAGATTTTGTGCTGAAGGATTTTTCTTTAAAAGGTACCATTCCTATTAAAGCCAATGGCTTCCAGAGTAAGAAGTCCTTCTCTCTTACAGGAGGCTCTATATTTAACTGTACAGTGTCAGTGCAGTGTTTTCAGTGTCTGCCATGTATCAGTCTCTGCTTTGAACATCACCAGTCCTTGGAAACTCCCTGTTTCTGACGTTCCTGACTGGCTGCCTAATCCTTTTTTGATGCTCAATATTAAAGACAATAGGACAGAATAAATGTATATGTCAGAGATAAAAGTGGTAAGGCAAGAATATAATTCTTTTAATCCAGTAGTTGAAATATGTAAAGTCATTATTTTCTAGAAGAAAAACATCTTTTCTGTAATCCCCTGAATGTTACACAATTATGTAGTGACTGACAGACACATGTATGAATGAGCATGGTTTATTTTTTCAGCCTGTCAATTAAATATCTCTTCTGGAATATGCTTTCTTGAAGAATTTGTATTTTTTTAAAAACTCTTTGCTGTACAATGTGTTTAGAGATGCTACTAAATGACTTTTGCTATGCTGGCTCTTTAATAATGAACAAGGGGAAGGGAAAGAAAGAGAATTTGAAGAGGAGCATTCTGAGCCTTACAGCTTAATTTCTACTGGAAAGACATCTGACTGGCAGCATTTTCTGTTGCACTCTATGACCATACAAGCAATTAATACGTTGTGTCTCAAGGTGTACTGCATTGATGTCTTAGGGATGACAGCTACTACCTCATAGCCAGTAAGCTGACTTCAGCAAAAGCCCTAGCTTTTTGTCAAAGCATTCACAATTGTCCAGCTTCTCTTCTCCAGTTAGGAGGCTTCCATGCCCCAGCACCAGCTTCCTGTCTTTGTCTTTTACATTACTGAATCTCTCTGTCTTGCCTCTGGACCTCAGACACAGGATTTGGACAATTTTCCTCATTAGTCTGGTATCCTAAGAAAGTAAGATTTACAAAGTCATGTTCTGTCTCTTTCTGAGTGTAGTATTTCCTCCCCCCCCCCCATTCAGTAACTTTTGGATCCTTGATTTGCCATTTTCAGCTGTGTTTGACACACTCAAAACTTGGAGCCTTGCGTGCTTCTGTCAGGTTTGTAAAAATGGTTGGCTGATTAGAGAGCATAGGGGTGGGGGACACGATAAGCATCTCATTTTGGAGAATGCTGCAGCAGGGGCCCACCTCTGAGCAGACATGGAAGACCCACATGAAAGTAACATTGTTGCTTGTCTGAAGTCCTGTTGGGGGGACCTTCTAGCTGAAATACCAGGAAAAGTTTCAACCAGAGCAGGTGCTATCTTAGATGCTGAGTTGAATCACACAGTGCACACAGCCACAAAAAAAGTACCCATGCTCATTGCAGGGCACACAGAGTGGTGTGTCTGTTCTCACCCCATCAGCTCCAAAGCCACATCAGCAACAGCCATTACTATGTGTCCCAGTGATAAATGTAGCGCTGGCAGATAGAAATTGCTGTTTCTTGAGAGTGATGGCATCTATGAATTAATTTTAAAAGCATAGAAGCAATTCAACATCTCTACCAGCTCATTACATACTGTTCCACTTTCCCCCCCCACTAAAAGGTCCAGAGGAGCTTGCCACGTTTGTCTCTTGGTGGATGGATGCTACACCTGGTCCTGCCAAGCAGTGCCAAGTGTGCATGCCTGGCAAACCAGTGCTCAGAAATCAAGGCAGCACATTATAAGGCAGTGGCAAAGCAGAGGGTTGCTGGGGTTTTTTAAGATTTTAAATTTGCAATGTTGTCATCCACAGGCAGAATCACAGAATCACACAGAATCACAGAACGTTAGGGATTGGAAGGGACCTCACAAGATCATCTAGTCGAATGCCACTGCCGGAGCA